TCTCTCTCTCTCTCTCTCTCTGTCTCTGTCTCTTTCTCCCTCCCTCTCTCTCTGCTTCTTGCTTGTGAATTAAATGTAAGCTCTCATCCACTGCCCCAGCACCATGCCTGCTTACTTGTTGCCATGCTCCCCACCATGGTGGTCACGGACTCACCCTCTGAACTGTAAACCCCCAATAAACTCTTTCTTCTATAAGTTGCCTTAGTCATGATGTCTCATCACAGTAATAGAAAAGTCACTAAGACACAATGGACGTAGCAATTAAACAATTCCTAATGATCTATTGCTACTCATAGATCAGTGCATCACTCAACCTTCATTAGAGAAGCTTCTTGCAGTAGATAGCAATTTGCACAGAACCCACAATTGGCCAATGTGCAGATGTGATCATCCCCAAATGAGATGTAGATATCATACCTCTCTCCTCAAAGTTCAATGATCTACATGAGAAGGTATTAAGATCCATGTAGAAAGATAGTAGGAGCCAGAGATAGTGGGCAACTTTAAGAAAGCAATGCTTTGGGGCTGGAGAGATGGCTCAGTGGTTAAGAGCACTGACTGCTCTTCCAGAGATCCTGAGTTCAATCCCAGCAACAACATGGTGGCTCACAACCATCCATAATGAGATCTGGTGCCCTCTTCTGGCATGCAGGCACATATGCAGACAGAACACTGTATACATAATAAATAAATCTTAAAAAATAAAAATGAAAAAGAAAGCAGTGCTTCCTAGATGCAACAGGAAGATACATATATGAACTCACAAAGATTGTGACAGCTAGCTCAAACCAGAAAACAATCTCAGCATAGAGTGGAGGGGGTGGCCATGAAGTTCCACCCCTGGCTGAGGAGCTATTAGCAGTTGATGACAGCTGAGAGAGAGAAAGTACATTTCTTTAAGGAAGCAGTCTCTGAGAGGCTACCCATGCTCTAGGAGATGGCCCCATGCACATACTGGCAGCACCAGGTATACTCAAATAATAATAAAATAATAATAATAATAATAATAATAATAATAATAATAATAACAACTCATGGCATTGGGACTGAATAGAGACAGGGTACTTGGGGAAGGAATTGGAGTGGAAGGATTTTGAATATTATATACATATACAAAATTCTCAATAAAAAAGAAGTGTTCAATATTATTAGCTATCAGGGAGATGCAGTTTAAAACAACTTTGAGATCCCATCTCATCCCAGTCAGAATGGCAATCATCAGGAAACCAAATAATAACAAATGCTGGTGAGACTGTCGGGAAAGGATAACCCTTGCTGACTGTTAGTGGTAATACCAACTGATGTGGCCACTGCAGAAAAACAGTGTGGAGAGTCCTCAAAAAGCTCGAAGTAGAACTATCCTGTGACCACACGAGTCAACTCCATATACCCAAAGGACTGTACATATTGTTGCAGAGACACTGGCTTGTTCATGTTATCTGCTGCTTAGTTCATAATAGCCAAGAAATGAAGTCAGTCTATATGTCCATCAACTGATAGATGGAGAATGAAAATGTGCTACTATGATATTCTATGTACCATTCTACATGTTCTATACACTATGGGATTCTATTAAGCTGTGAGGAAAAATAAAATTATGAAAATTTCAGGTAAATGGATGGCTCTGGAAACAATTATATTGAGTGAGTTAACTCAGATACACAAAGACAAACACTGCAGGTTCTTCATATGTGGACCCTAGCTTCTAACTTGTAATTTTGTATGCTTAACTTGGAGTAGCTTTAGAACCAGGACATTAGAAAGAGGTTACTGAGAGGGGCTGCCTGAAGAGAGGGGTTAGTAGAAAATAGGTAATATAAAAGTAGAGAGGGGGGAATACTTGGAGTAGGAAGGTTTAAGGGTTGGAGGATAGGAGAGACAAGAGTATGGAAATTAACCAAAATGAAGGGGATATGAAAATAATATATGGACATCTACTATCTTGTAACTAAATTAAAAATGTGATTTATATTAAAAAAGAATTTAAAGGGGGACACCTTGCATAGCCGTTCCCAGAAGCCATAGGCTGTTAAACACAAACTCCTGTGCCAGGAGTCAGAGAGCTCCTTAGGAGCTGATGGTCACAGAGAATCCAAAGGCCACTCCCCCAACAGTATAGGCTCTCCATAGTCCTCTTAGTTCCCTGCTATAACCAGATGATAAGACCTTATTGCTGAAGATACCATACACCTTGGCTGCTCAATATAGAGAAGTCAAGGTGGAACTGAGCTTGAAGCTTCTTCCTCCACGCTGGCTAGCTTTCACAGTCCTGAAAGATACCATGCAGGATGCTGGAGGAGAAAAGGCATCAATGGTCTTTCCTGCCTGTGAATCCTCTGATCTATGAGACCAACCCACCACACAAGATGTGCTCACTTGTGCAATGGTGACATTACTGTTATGGGGTAACCAATTGCTCTCGGATTGGATTTAAGGCCCTCTCTGCAGGAAGGTATCTATATCTGATACTACAAACCTGGACAAAATTCCATGCTGGGAG